GAAAGGATTTGTATTGCTAAAGTTTCTTCGGAAAGAATTTTTACGGAAAATTAACTAACGACCAGAGACGTAACAATATATATAGTAATGCATGAAATGTTCTAGACCTCTGTCGGATATAAATATGCGCCGAAAGATTATTATTTAGATCTAAAATGCGTGATTGTGAGTTTAGCGATAAACAGTGTATAGTAGCGATTTTTAAAGTGAAACTATCACAGACTGCATTGTTATAACAGAACAAATAAGAATAATTCATCTTGTCAATTGTGTTCTAAGGTAATTGAACCAGCCTGTGTGGAATTTGACAAAAAAAAAAAGATAATTATTTAAGGCTCTGGATACAACTGTGATAACCAACAGTGTAACTAACATTTATATTTATGTTTGGCTTGTTTTAATATAACATTTTAAAACTAGTTGGAGTACCCGTCCCCTGGACGGATGTTATGTAAATTTATGATTAGTGAAAGATTATCTCATGGGATGAAAAGTTCCTTCCCTTATATGTAATTGTAAAAGACGCAAAAACGCCCATAAAAATTGCAAATCACAAAATGTGAAAACAAAAATATAGCATGTATCTCCGCATGGACCCAACAAACCTTCATGTCAAATTTGGTGAAGATCCATCTACAGGGGCGAAGTAGTGGTAAAAAACGCCAATAAAAACCGCAAAACTCAAAACTGAAAGTTTGTTTATACCCCCGCATAGACACAATGAACCTTTATGCCAATTTTGGTGAAGATCCATCCACACCCTGCGAAGTAGTTATACGGATATACAACAGCAAGTGGACTGTGTTGATATTTGTTTATTGTTGAGATTTATCGCCAACAAGTCACAGACACCTACTGTAAAGAATCCGTCCTACAAAACCTGACTGTAGCAATACGACTTCCTATTACAAAGTGTCAACAGGAGCCATTGCATGCGACTATTTTATTTTTAAGCCAAGAATGCTAATGCTTCATCAGAAGAATGTAGACTATGTAGAAAACGTTAAATATCATAAGCATAATTATTTCACATCACAATAATACTTTGTCATGAATTTTTTGAATTTCTTTCTAAACTTCCGATTGAATAAGAAAACTACTCGCCCAATAGCAAATGGTGTTTGTAGTTATAATATTGTGAACTAACTTTTGAGATTTTAACGCTGATGATGGAATTTGAAGCAGTATCGAAACGTCCGTAATGAAAGATGTTTTTGATACTTATTTACATTTATCTGCAGTTGTAGTACTCTTTTTATGCCTGTAATCTTCATAGACTTTAGGTACCGTTCTCACTGATGGCAGCTCATTCCATGGCATAAGTCAGTCAAATCACCCTGTTACTGTTAGAAAAATGCCTTAACTGGAACCAGCAAATCCACATTGATACGATCACAGACAATTATTTTTGCACCTGTAAGTAGTAATGAGTATGACGTACATACATTTAGTCAGAATTGCTGCATTGCATATATCACTGAAGTTGAACTAGGTTACCAGTATACATATATATATACTGATAATTTATATTTAATTTAAGTAGGGGAAACACACGCACTTACATGTGTGTTAATTTTAATATCAAAACTAAACACAGAGTAACTGAACGCTACCTTCTTACCTTGTATTATTAACTAGAATTTCTGACATTTGTAACAAAAAAGGGTGTAATTACAATATAGAAATAGTAAAATGTATCTATTAGGAGAGAGAGGTATTTGCAGAACAAAAACACACACAGTAATGGTGATACGCTGTCTCTTACCAAGTCTTAGATTTATATGATTATCTTCACTACTGTGTGAACCTTTTTCTTGTACATATATGCCTCTGATTCTAAATACAGTTATATATAAGCCTATCACTACGTGGGTCATGTTTATATATCTCTCATACTAATAGTAGTATCATTGCTTTGTCCTATATATATATGTGTGTTACTTTTTTTTACCCTTCGTTGTCTGAAATTATTTATTTACATACAAATAAACCTTTTTTTTAATATTTCATTATGATCCATTTATTATATCAAAAAATGTGTGTTGACATGGTTAATTTATTCCAAAATACTTCTTTTTTAATAAAAAGTAATGGAAAATTTGAATTAAAACTTTTCAGATCTTTCAAGAAATGCTTGTCATATAACAGAAGCCTTTGTAACATCTACAGTGCATTCTTCTGTGAGTTAATTGTAATTAGTAGAGATAAATTTTTTTCAGTTAAGATATAGCTGCCAGTGGTATTTTTCATATTCACACTTTCTGAAACATCCAAAGGAAAGTAAAACAAATAAAATGCATATAAACTACCAGAAACTTATAATATTTTTTGGATTAAATAATAATATGGAGTGTTACTATTAGATGTCTTAACTATTTACAAAAAAGTAATTGTAGAACAGAATCAATAAAGTTATAAACATGATTCAAGACAAATAACATGATAAAATTTAAATGTAATGAATGGTGTTACAATACAACATATAAAGTTCAATACAAAAAATGTATGTGTATATATATATATATATATCTGTTATTTTTAGAACTTGTAGAATAAGTTTGTTTTAACACATAAATATGAAAATTTATACTTACCATTTTTGATAATTGACACAAAATAGCACATTTTTACTTTGGAAGCAAATAGCTTTTGATATTATCTTTTGTTTTTTAAGAAAAAAGAAGAAATGAAAGAAACACAAATATCAACAGGACTCAGGAAAGCTAAATCTAGAGGAAGAGGGAGGCCAAAGCGCAGAGGTGCACCTCGTACCTCAAAAATTCCAGCAGTTATAAGACATAGGTTAAAACAAGCTCGCTACCGACGAAACCATCCTGAGATCCATCGTGAACAACAAAAACGGTATCGTGCCAACCATCCAGAAATACATCGGCGACAGCAACAACGGTATCGAGCTAATCATTCAAAGACTCGCCATCAACAACAACAAGAGCTTCAGGCTAATTTTCCTGTGATTCAACAACAAAAGTTTCATATAAATAAACCTGTAGCTCTTTGTCAAGCTGGAAAACAATTTCAAACTTTTTGTCATATTCAACAATACAATGATTCTAATCCTTGTTCCAGTCAAAGTAACTCTGACATTAACAGTTTACAAGTTTTAACAATAGAAATTACATCATTGAATGATAAGCAGATTGTGCCATGTCCAAACTGTGGAGCTACATTAAAGGCAGAATAGCATAACCATACTAAATACATATTTACAGTGCAACAAGTCAAAAGATTTAAGCTAAAAAAGGTGTAAAATTAAATAATAAGTGTTCATTCACTTTTATAAAAGCAATGCCAAATATAAATTAATTTGTGTAATCTAGTTTTAATTAATTAAGCAGTAAAATTGTTTTTTATTTATTAATTTTCCAATGCCAAATTTATTTTTCCTTTTTTAATTTTAATTACATTAGCAGTAAATGTTTGTTAGTTAGTTACTTATAATACTTATGTTTCAGTTTGTTTTATAGATGTGGTATAGAAATGATCTTTGTATAATAGATGTAGATATTAGGTATGAATAGGTGTACTATTATTATAATTGAATAATTAGATTGGTAATTTTGCAAACTCTATTTAATATTTGGATGCTAGATTTGTATTCAAAATTTTATCAAATATTGTAACAGGAAAAAAGTTTCAGGTATCTCTACATTTTTTAACACAGGATTGAAAATGTTCTTATTAGTAGGCAGTCTTATTTAAACTTTAGGTATAGAGCTATTGTGTGAAGTTTTAAAACAAATTTACAATGATCTCTCTGTCAAACATAGGGTATAAAGTATCTTAAACTTCTTTAGAAAATACTTTTCATTGTTTTTTATGTAAATAATAAAACTTTGTAACATGTAGCCCAGGAGCTGTATTTCCATTTTTGTGTATAATCCTTGTTTCATTTAATATCAGCTACCACGTGTTTCTCCAACACAACTGAATATTGTACGTATTTGCATTTATACTGAAGTATAACAATTGTGTTGATAGACAGCAATGAAGATACAATTAAATGTCTTAATACAGTTGCGTAACTAAGATTAATTTCATGTGTGTTTGTGGTATTCCTGTGTCTAAACCTAATAAGTTAGTTTCAACTTCACACACACAACTTGGTACTGAAGGAATGTTGACCATAATTTTGAACTTACCATGTGAATCTACGTGAAATGTGTCATTCTTTTAGTAAAATGTAAAAGTCTGTTGAATACGAAAAGTCAGATGTGTTACAAATGTATTTTTACTCAAGATATGTCTGTGAATTGACTCAGATTCTGACAAGCTGGAGTGCAAAGTGATGTTCATGTGAAGAATAGAAATACTTTTGTTCATTGTACAGTTTGGATATTGCATATGCATAACCACTAGGTTATCCAAAATGTATACCTACAGCTTTTTTTCAGTATCTCTTTATTTGTTATTTACCATGAAGTGTTGCTAAATCAACAGTGTATGGCATAATGAATAGTTGATAACTCTGACATCAAATACATAATATCATGTTAAATGGCACTCAGTAAAAGGTCATGACAGGTGCACATAGGTTTAAAAAAAATTGATAATTCATAATAATAATGTTTCATAGCACCAAGATAGGGCTTTATAATGGTGATAGTGATATATATAATATTAATAATTAACAGGTTTATAACTCTAGTTTTAAAAATAAGTAAAAAATAGTTTTTCTACTTTTAAGTCAAAATGAAATTCTCAAACATCATATTTTTAGTTATTCAATGTTTAAATGCCCAAACTAGCAAGGAAGAGTTAAGAAGGCAAACAGGATTGCATGAAGGTAGCAATATAATCTACGAATAATATTTGCCAGCCTAGTATATCATTGTTCAATAGATTGATTAAGTACAAAAAGGAGCAGTTTTGTACTACTTACAATTTTCAAATACATTTTTGAAGACATATAGTATTGTTATAAAGAATAATAAGAACATTAAGAAATTGTAATTTTTTTTTAGAAAAATGTTTTCTTTAAATTGGTCCTTGTGATACTGAATTTTTATGCATATTATATAAATTCTCTTATACAAATGTGAAGGAATACATCTAGTTTGATTTTAGTGGGCTATAATTTGAATACACTCAACATTTTGTCTTAACACAAGTTTCAGTGGATAGTTATGTGTATCATAGAGAATGTTCTTTGTTCTTTAGACAGAAATGCTTACTGTTTGACCCTATATATATATCATAAAATTGAGTATTTTCACTTACTATTTATTATTAAATGTACTATCAATTCAAAGAAGATAAAGAGCAACATGACAGAACTACTGTCTGCTCTATCCTGCTAAAGTCACACCTTCGTGAGCCAAAACTATGAAGTAAAACTTATTTCAGCCTTTAATTCCAACTATGTATGCATGAAAAAAAATTGAAGTAAATAATTTTAACTAATGGTATACACCCTGCAATCAGGGATACACCATTTCAGTGACTTATTTCACAAATACAGAAGTAATTGAAGAACTACAAGAAAGTCCAGATCTTACATTTATTGCCTCTAATTTTGAAGTTCCAATTCACCAAACATACTGTATCACTACTTAAACAGATCTTCTAACAGCAGCTATTGAAGTGCCTTAACAAGTCTAAACACTAACTTAATCATGTTAACCCTTGTTTGTCTACCCTCCAAAGAAAAAAAACTTTAAATCACAGTTCATTACTAATTTGTTTTTCAAATCAGGTTACATTAGATTCCTGCATTTATAGCATTCAAATATTATTATAACAAGATCAGTATTGAAAATCTGAAAAAAGGTCTTTCCAAAATTCATAAAAACTGAAATAGCCTTCCTATTCTTAAATACAAAAATTTTATGTGTTCTATAACTTCATTAGCACATGTTTGCTTTATTTATATCATCAATGTTTTTTCATACATTAAATCCATCCTTTGTGTAATTCTTATCTGGAAGTATATTATTTTAACTTCTCAATATAGAAACCCATTTTCTATGTTTTTACCAACTCATTAATAAGTGTTCAGGAGGCCCTTCTGAATTAAAGATACACTTCTCAAAATGATCCTTTCCCAACATTTAGCAATAAAATAGCATTTTTACCAATTACATTATCACAATTGAAAAAATGTCATTCTTTCCTTGTAACTATTTACTTCGTGTCTACTTCTGAGCCAATTTTTATTTACATTTTAATTTTTCTATCACTGTCTTTTTAAATAGATTCAGTTTTGATAGTGGTGACTTGTTTTACTTATTACTGTATTGTTTAGGAATTAATAAATTAAACAACTATTATCAATAAATTTTTCCCTACATATGTGTTCATAAGAATTCAAACTTGTTCAGCTTATGCAGTCTTTGATGTATAAATATCACATGAATGAAAGATGCAATATAAAGAAAATTTCCCTAGAGATTATAATTTTGACTAAATTATAATTATTTGTTTTACTACATAGATGAACCATTAACTTTTAAACTGCTCAAATTGTGCTATAAAGGGTAAGTCAACTGACTAATTTTTGTTTTGTTAATGAATGCTACATAAGTAATGAATAATAGTAGTTTGAATGTACTTGTAGCTGAACTTCTAGAATATGTATGCAGTGAATTAATATTGGACTTGCTAATGAGTGAAGTGTCATACGACTTCTTTTTAACTTGAGTGGAACTGCCATTTCAAAAGTAAAACTCCTTTACATTTATCTATACTTTATTTACCTTTATTTGTCAGGAAATAAAACCAATGATATATATTATCAATAAACAATATTATAACTTTAATTTCGTTGTTCACTCTCTTATGCCATCCTCTTATGTGCTAATGAAGTAGCATAAGTTTTTCTTTCTGGTCTCTGAGCAACAGTACTAGAAGTTTAGTTGATAGTTGTTCTTCAAGTTGGAGCATATGATATATGATATTCTCAGATTAACTGTGCAAGTGTCAGATAGGTCTGCTTTATAATGGGAGATTCATGCAGGATAATCACAATGTAAATCTGAATTTAATTAAATGACTAAGAATAAACTGACTGGAAGCATGATGTAAAGTGGACAACAATATTATATGTCAAAGCAAAAGAAAAAAGTGTGCATACTTGTATAAGACACTGGACAATTCCCTTCCTGCTGGACCTGTGAATTAGACCATAGGTTTTCAAGCTTTAACACCAAGAGGCAACAACCCCTTCAAAAACAGGTAATCTGAGCTTTACCTATAAGCAATAAGCTTCACCACATCAATGATAATTCTTATACAACATACAAAAGCTGTAACCTCTAGATGTTTACTCAGCAAGTGAAAGACATTGCTGTTGATGACCTATTCTACATAGACAAAGTAGATACTACTTGCTAGAGAACAACAAAAGTTACTAGAACAAAAATAACTCAACAGTTTTCTGGACCACAAAAACAGTCTATATTGATAAAAGCATATAGAAAACTTTTGCTTACATATAACATTTCTTCTACCTCCTCTGTGTTAGGCTATGCTTCAAGTCAGCAACTAAATTTATCTTTAAAACCATAAAACAAAATTTATGACATGGCCAAGCACATTAACGTTGTATTATTTCTAAGAATAATTAAACATCATGTGAACAGCACAATCCTTAATCAAAGAACTGCAACAAATACAAGAATACAAATACAAATGAAATGAAGAAAATAAAAAAAAATACTTGTTATACATAATTAAATGCAATATACAATAATAAAATAAAAACCTTTTAATAATGACTTAACTTGAAAATGAATATAATAAATTGTGAATAAAATGAAAATCTTTTACAAAATTTCATTTAGTATTTAGGTTATACATATTTTTCTTTACGTACATATATATATACAGAATAAAATATAATAAAACACCCTTAAGAGGATCAAAAGCTTGCATGTACATTGAGAACAAAACCCTTTAATAAGGAAAAACTACACAATACCAAAAATTATTTTTTAACAATTAACATATTTAAAATGCTCATTTTACATAGAATAATACATAAGTACACATATAAAAGACCATTTGACAATAGAAAAATGACATTTGCAGAAAAGAACTAAAAAAGATAACCTACCCCTTTTAGAAGGGGATGATCTAGCAGGCTATCCATTCGAATAATATAAAATAAAACAAAGTGAAAACCCATTAATATAAAAAAATTAATGATCGAATTGCCAAACATTAGAATGCCTTTTTACACACACACACAAATTAATCATTGGAGCGTCATTTAACAATGAAATAAGTTACAAGAATGAAAAACAAAAATTCATGTCAGCA